AATCAAAAATTGAGGGTTTTTCGAAACGAGTCTAGTTATTATCTATATATATATATATATATATATATATATATATATATATATATATATATAGCAATTTCTGAAAAATAAGTGCGCTTACGGTTACATCACTGATCCTGTCTCCTGTGCCTTTTCCATAAATACTTCCAGCTCCATGCTTTCCAGGCAAATTTAATTTTCAAAAGTTTAAATGCAATGTCAATTGCTATTTACTGCCCTCTGCCCTCCTGATTACTCTTCTTCTGTACACGCTTCTTTGTGATATTTATGTTTTCTAATATCCATATCATAGAAAATAAAATAAAAATACATAAGGCCAAAAACGTGACAGAGGGAAACAATAGTGGTTGTTGATAGCAGTTTGAGGAAGCATGGTTGAGGTGTTAATGTAATGATTAGATCTGGAAAATTTATTTTCGACAACAATGGTCAAGGGTTAAGGCACAGCATTTCCAAGCCTTTTAAGACGATGAAAGCGGAAGGAATTAAAAAAATCTAAATGATAGTTATAGTAGTAATTGGGAATATTTTTTTTGGTGGGGGTGGGTTTTAAAAAACTAAGCCAGAACTGAATTGCATATATTTAGGTTGGAGTTATCACTACTAATTTCGTAATTAATGAAAGTATTTTGTAAATTAATAAATTAAGTAGTGAATATTTCTTCTTGGTATGTTGAATACATAAGTTATTCGTTTTTGTTTTATCCATAAGTTTTAATTTAGAAATTAAGATATACGTAGAAAGGTATATAAACGTATGGGAAATTAATATAACTTTTATAAGCAAATTAGCAGCATGTCCCGGCGTTGCCCGTGCTTGATTCAAAAGTCATACGACTCATACAGCAATCGCTTTTCACTTGACTTAAAATATTTTTGCCCTTTCTTGCCTTTAAAGGGGTGCCCTTTGCCGTGCTGATGTTGCTACATGCCTTACTTCTTGCCTATCTCAAACTGCGAATTTTTTCTAAGCTCTATACTAAACATTAAATCTGTTACGAAAAAAGAACTAAACAAAATGAACACAAAACGATCAGCTTTAAAAAAGGGCTCGTAACTGGAAAAACCGAATGAAAAAAGAATGTAAACAACAAATACTTTTTCACATCCAACCCAGTTCTGCGGAATCAGAATCAACGTTGAGTTTAAGCAAGCGAATGAGCCAATTGGAGTAAAGTGCCATGCAGATTTAATTTTTTTCCACTTGTGACGAATGCAGCTATCGATCTTTCTTGCATGCTAGCATGCTAGTTAACATTCGTGTCAGTCAGCTGTTGGCTCTCACGCTGGCCAATAGAATCTTCCTGCCTATTTGTGGCAGCCAGCTATTGGCTCTCACTCTGGCCAGTAGAAAATGGCCGCAAACTACATGAAAACTGCCGTAGAAGCATGAAAAAATCTATTATTTTCACTATCGATGGGTGTAGAGGAAATGCAAAGTCGGTCTTGGCCTTCCCGCCAACTTGGAGCATATGCATGTAAATTTTGGTGCAAATCCGTCGAAAATTGCGGCCGTGCATTCGTTATTCACACACACATATATCCTGCCTTTTATAGATAGAGATTTTGATTTATGTCGGACCGTATAACGTGTAAAATAAGTGTAGGTGTAAATCAATTTACCTGAAAGTATTACTAGTATTATATATGCGCCAAAGCATTTTAAGAATCATAATCTAAGATAAATTAGTAGAGAGGTATGTGAGAACATAGAAAGTATATCAAAGGAAACGAGTTATGGATTTAAACATTTAGCAAGTTTGTAATGTTAGAACTGTAATATGCCTACAAAATAACGGTGGTTTCATGTCATTAATTTAATGATTGGGTATTGTTCAAAAGTTCAATAATACATATTTTTGCCTGCAAACATAAAAAACAAGGTTCATTCAAAGATTTGGAAGTTCTACGTTGTTTTATGATTTTCCATTTAACCTTAGGCGCTTTGCTTTCCTCTTTCAGTTTCTAAAAATATTTAGAAAGTGTTGTCATATCGCGCTTGCCTGCATTTGTAAAGGACGATATGTGATTGTAATATCGATCCTTAAAAGGTCTTCTAGTTGATCCTACATACAATCTAATATCCCCAGTGTCACAAAAATTACATCAATCCAACCAAATATATATATATATATATATATATATATATAATTTATCTTTATATCTTTATCTTTATATCTATCTATTTTCGTAAAGATTATCAAATCAATGCAAATAGGAGAATCGATGGGCCAAGTCCAAATTCAAGCCGATTCATCTTCGTTCCTTTTGCAACGCCCATGGAAAAATCGATGAATGCATCTTCCTTCAGCTCTTGTTCAATACAATGTGGGCTCTCAACCAGCCCAGCAGGATGAAAAATATTCTTCCAGAATGGGGAGGAGGTAATATCATTTCACATTATTCTACAGAAGTCGTAATGCAAAGCAATTTAGATGTCTTCACAATCGTCCCTAGTATTTACTCAATGTTTTTGCATAGCGGTGACGTTAAGCACTTTCAAGAAGGCTTTATCTCGTGCCGTATACATATTTAAAAAGATTTTTCATCTATTAGCGGCGCCAAGCGGTGTGCGACCTTACATATCAATGAAGCTGGTATGACTCAATACCCTCAAATATCGACCATTCGAACAGGAATTTATAGACTATAAAATATACACATACATGGTATCAGACTTTACGCGGTATGAGACGTTACATAACAATTAATACTAGTATTACTTAAATCACATAGCGAGTTGGCACGAAACATATTTGAACAGGACTTTTTATACTGAGTACATGCTCAGATATTATTGTCACCACTATTAAAGAGTAAGAGTCAATTCTCATTTTTCTTCCTAAAATGATAGAGTGAGCTAACACTAAGCACAACTGAATAGAGCTTTATACTTTATGGAATGTCTGTTCAAATACGTTTCTATCTCCACTATTAAGCGGTGTGAGACCTTATGTAGAATTCAACCCTAGTATTATTCCATGAAGTCACACAGCGACCTGACACATATTTGAAAGGACTTTGTATACTACGGAATGCCTATACGAATATGTTTCTATCGCCGCTCTTAGCAAAGCCACGTGATATGAGAGCTTACGTAACATTCAACTATCGTATTATTTAATGAAGTCACACAACGAACTGATAGATACAAAGCATGTTTCGACATGACTGTATATATTACGGAATACTTGTTAAAGCATGTTCTTATCTCTGTAATCTGCGACATCCCAGTGTCCGAGATATGACTTATCAATCAATTCACGTATGTAAGTTAATTTAAGCAGGTTGTATATGTTACAAAGAATAGAGGACCTTGAGAGTTATCAAAATAATTTAATCTTTAACAATGGCGTACAGGATAAACTTCTTTAAAGTAGTTAAAAAAAGAAGAGACTTATATTTAAGACCAGAAAGATAACAAAAATGAGAGTTTACCGGTCATCGCTCCTCACCCGTCAAAACTCGACAGTGGAATAAAATAGTGAATGTAGATGTACTGACTGGGAAGATAAAGGAAAAAAATAAATCACCGATATTAATAATAGACTAAATATAAATTATCTCCAAACAGATCACGTGATATAATATGATGTAAAAAGATAACACTGTTTTCTTATCGTCCTTTTGTGGTACCAAATTTCTTTTGCTTCAAGTTTCGCCTTTATATATTTGCGAAAGTAAATGTTACGAACGCGGCTGGAATTCGATCCCCATTCTCCGATTAATCTTGCCGATTTGCTAAACATTATACTACCCTCACATCCAAATCGTGTCCATATGAAATGTAAATAAATATTTAAGTCAAGTTATATCACTTTTAAAAGTTTTGAAATAAAGTGTGCTAATAGGTTGATATCTTGAAACAGTTAAATGTAATCGCCTCCTCAAATCTAACAGCTTGTCTCGTACTTTCCGCTAGTGGAACACCCTCCCTCCAACTTGCTTCCTTGATAGCTATAATCTTCAAATATTCAAATGTAACGTCAATCGACATCTTCTGATGCCTTGATCCTGATCCCCATCCTTCTCTTTATCCTTTCCTCAAACCACCCCCTCTTTACTCTTTACTCTTGCTCTCACTCTCTGTAACCCCTTGCATGCCAGTGGCACTCCCGCCTTGCTTGGGGTGAAAAGCTTTAAAAAAAAAGTATATATGTTGATATATTTAAATAAATGACGTCAAATTTCGATAATTGCCTTGGAAACACGGGTTTATCAACCAGTTTAATCTTTAAAATATCATTTGCAAGGTGCAGTAAATGGATAGCGACTCAGATTGAGGAATCGGAGAGCCGAGTTCGAATTCCAGTCCATTGCATTCACTTACGTGCTAATACCCTTGGGAAAGGCTCTTCTACCCTCGCCACCAGCTATGGCTGACGAAGACCCTTATACTAGAGCGGACTGGATTGGCAGCCTTGACCAAGACACACCACTTCAACTCCGATTGCAATACATGTGGTGCCCCTAAGATGCTAATGCGATACGAGACTCGTGATCGTGATTCTGGCTTTTATACCCACAACGTTTCGGTCATTGTATCCTCCGGCATTCTTCAGGTATTTATCTTCGTATTTTTATAACTCGGGATTTCAAATCGATCTCTTTATTCAATTCCGATTACCATTCTGAGGAAATATTTCACATCCTTTTGTGTCTGTTATAGGCAGGCCTTGTCGGGTATTTGAATTTTGTTTTTACCCACCTTCACGCCGTGGATTTATTTTTTCACTTTTGCCTGGGTGTTCATTCAGCTTGATCTTTTATCCTAATCTCCTCTGAATTATTTTTGTTCCAAACAAATTAAATTCAGTATTTGACTTTTTCAGAAGTTGAAGCCACAAGTTCCAAAGAACCCGATAAGTTTTACCATACGTTTTAATCCAGTAAGCCATTTTATTTCGAAATCATCATCATCATCATCATCGCCATCATTATCATCACCCTCAGTTTTGACCAGTTCCTTCCACATAAGCTTACGGCCACATCACGTTAAAACACCGGTTCACATACGATCAACGAAGATAAGCAACGTCGAGCCTGGTCAGTACCTAGATAGGTGACCGCTTAGAAATACCGGGTGCTGTAACCTTGTATGTGCGGATGGTGTAATGGATAATGGCTCGGAATTTAATCGGGGTGCAGAGTTCCAATTCCAGTCGGGTGTGTTATATTCACTTTTTTTAAGGCAATTCACCTCAGTAAGGCAGGAGTACCACGAGCGCGGAAGGGGTTACAGAGGATTGAGAACAAGAGTAAAGAGGCGTGTTTGAGGAAAAGATACAGAAAATGACGGGGAACAAGCTCAGGGTGTCAGATGTCGATTGGCATTACACTTGAATATTTGAAGATTATAAACATTGGGGAAACAAGTAAGGGGAAGGGAGTTTCACCGACAGGAAGAGCTGTTTGAGTAGAAGAGATGGTTACATTTAACCGATTTGACAGTGAAAGGGTGGGACCGAGATGCCAGGCCTGGTAGCTAGTTTAAATTCATGCACTCTTGAAAGCAGCGGAAGTAGCTCGTCGGAACAGTTGCCGTGAAAATATTTGTAGAAGAGAGATTGGTACGCGCAAATACACTTTGGAAAGGTATGAATCTACCTGTTCTTTCCCCCCACCACCACCACCAGATACGTTTTAATTAGACTTGTGTCACTAAAATATTATTATCTCCAAAAATAAAACTGCGTACAAAATATTTAGATTTCGGCACAAAATAACCCCTAGAGCTGTTGATATGCCGCTAAACAAAATAAAATCCTGTCACATATCCCCATCCAGATCTAACCCCCTGCTGATATCCAACCACATGACTTTGGTCAGAGACATGTCGCTGTTTCCAGCGAGAAAGACCTCACCACTGGCCGTTGACTTTCGTCTGGAAAGCCGGGTGATGCCGAGTCCTTACCGGTGATGTGTTTTCTGTTATTTGTATGATTCTGTAGCGCCAGACAACAAGGTTCAAAGAAATGTACTCTTCCCTCAGATCCACAGGCTTCACTCGTCTGACGCCATTTTTAACCCCTGATCTTAGAAAGTAATTGTATACAGCCGACGGTTTCTGAACGGGCTCCGTGCCATGCATGACATCCATATGAAAGTCTCGATCTATGTCGTCCTGGGTATGACGATAAACTACATCCAGCAGCAAGACCTCTGATCAGGAGGTTTTGAGGAGCGTGGAACCACCTCTTAATTGCTGGTGTTCCGAGGTCTACTCTGACACGAGCAAATAGTTAACTCCAAAACTGGGATCAAAACACTTTAAAAATATCAAAATATTTTTTTTAAAAATACCAGCAATACAATTTGGAAAAGACGTATTGCCAGCAAGAGATTTGACTATCGAAAAAAAACATTTTTTTTACAAATATACATTAATGAAAAATGATTTCCTACAAACTGATTTTTTTACAAAGAATACATACTCTATTCATACAACCCTACCTTGAAAATCTTGTCGGTTTTTTTTTTTAAAAAAACCATTAAGGTGTTTATATGCCGTAAAACAAACTAAAAAAACCAAGATCAACAAACTGGTTTCTTAAAAAGAATGCATATTCTATTCGTACGAACTTACCTTAAAAATCTCGTTGGTATTAAATAACCCATTAAGGTTTTTATATGCTGCAAAGCAAAATAAACACAAACCAAGATCAACAAACTGATTTCTTACAAAGAACACATATTCTATTCGTATGAACTTATTCTAAAATCTTATCGGCATTAAATAACCTACTGAGGTTGATATGCTATGAAAGAAAATAAACAAACCAAGCCTCGATCGTTGTTATGTAAGACTTTCAGATTAATATTATAGATTTGTAGCAATTTTAGATGTTGGGCAGAACTACCTCTAGCACTGCAAATTTCTGTTTAATTTCCTTTTCTCCTATACTAAAGTTGGTATAAAATATCACTCCAACACTCGTCAACCTGTTTCTAGAGATAATTATGCAGGAAACCCGCCATGACCAAAGCAACAATATCTCCAAATTGACCATGTGGTGGGCAGTAAAAATGAACTGCAAAACCTGACCCACAAACTCACTGAAAGAGCAGCTGCATATGTAATGGAACCCAGCACAGAGAAATCCAAAGTAATGGTGGTTAGCACAAGCAACGGCAGTGCTAACGTTACAATGAAGGAAGTGTCTAGCTCCAAATACATAGGAGCAACCCTGTCAAAAGACGGCACTTGAAACGCAGAAATATGCATACGGATCGCCGGAACCAGAGCATCGGCGGCTAGACACGAAAGGATATGGAAGAGGAAACTCAGCTTCCAAGCCAAGTTCAAGCATCTACAGATCGCTGCTCGTATCCATCCTCATCTCTGGTTGGGAGACTTGGAGCCTCCTGGTTGAGGCAGAAAAGACGATGCTTGGGGAAGCTCCTCAGCATCTCCTACTGGCAGCACATATCCAACGACGTCAGAAGTCTCGTGGTCCGACATGAATCACTCCTCACCACGGATAATGTCAAAGATGGCTACTTGATACGGCATAACAGCCTCTGCAAGACCATCACGCAAAGCAATGTTGAAGGTGGACGCAAGTGGGTACGGCAATGCAAGAACTGGTCAGACAACATCAAAGAATGGACAAACATAACAATGCTAGAACTCCTGAGAACCATTGACAGCAGAACATCTTAGCAAGGGTCGTTGGTTTCTAGTTCCTTTAGTTTCCCGCGACGATTGAATCAGCCAAGGGACTGATGATGATGGCCATGATAATAATAACTGATTTATGCACCAAGGTGTGTCTGTCGTGTTTAGTATTTACGAAATACACATCCTGAATTTTTATTACAGATTTAGGGGAAGTGCAATCACTGTTTTCATTCCAATTCCAGATCATAGTTTCTGTTTTGGAAACGTCTGTCTAGTTCTCTTTGGTGGAACACTTGGTAGAGTATATTGTGGTTCTTTTTTTGTTGTTCAAGATAAAGCCTTGTTTATTTTGATAATCATCATGACCTTTTATCGACCGTAGTCGGAATCATCAAGCCAATGCGAACGATCCTTCCCTTAGCTGCATAGTAATGGGTACGCAATGGTAAATACACTTTTGAATTCAGAGTTACATTCTCCTAGACCGGTTACCACCCAAGGTTATAAAACCTAGTCTGTCCTGCTATTTACTCATAGCTGGTGGGTGGAGAGAAGAAGAGGATTCATAGCTTTCCCAAGGCATGTAAATGAATGTAATGGATTTGACAAGCCGCTATCCATTACTCCACCGTGTCTTCAGTATTTAGCTTGCAAATTTGTTACTGTACCCTTAAAAAATATGGCTCGCAAATCCTTCACCATTTTATCAATAAGGCATCTGAATTCCCACAACTCTTTCGGATTGTCTGGGCTTGTTCACTCTAAAATCTCCTTGCTATTAAACGTTATTATTACCTTGCTTGTGGTGAATTTATTTAAAGAACTCTTCTATTTTGTTCTGTTCATAATTACTCTATATTTAATTCAAAGCTCTGAGATGACTATTCTTTCAATACGGTGACACCCTTATCAACCAGACTATAGCGTGTTACAGGCAATCAGTAACAGGGAGTTCAGTCATATTGAGAAATATCGTCTTTATCCAGGTATTGTCCTTAAGCAACTGGATCTGTTTGGTACTATCCAAGCAAACAACAATTTGAAGCCAAACCTTTGCCATCCAGCATTCATTTCTAGAAAGACGATTATATGATACATAGCAGCTCAAGCCACTTGGCTTTGTTTCTGTGTATATTTTCCTTTTTTTCTTAATAAGTTGATCTAATGCATCTTTCGCTATCTCTATGTGTCATAGAATTTCTTTGCAATTGGGCATAGAGGGCTCTGGATTTTTCCCGCAGTAGATTGCCATTTCTTTCTGCAGTATGCCAGTTGCCATCCAAGGCTATAGAGCCCGGTCTGCCCTGCTATTTGCCCATAGGGGAGAAGAAGAGGATTCATACCTTTCCCAAGGAACGTAAGTGAATGTAATGGATTCGGCTAGAATTCGAACTCGGCTCACTGATTCCTCAATCCGAGCCGCTATCCATAATTGATAATACGTACCTCCTCCGTTTTTGAAGCAGAGGTATGGGAAGCGCCAGACATTTCCCAAACCGACGGCATATCCAACACAAGTGAAGAAAAACTGGATTGGTTTATCCCAAGTGCCCCTTTCAGCTCCTTCGCTTGAGATGCTGTCTTTTGAGACAGAAGGCGTATCATCCTTAGGGCAAAGTTCATAACTCGGTGGTGGGTCGTTCTTTCCGACCTTTAGTGAAATAGTGTTCTGAAAAAGTGAAAAATAACAAGTAAAATTGTTATAATGTTCGTATAAGCTCGTAGTTCTGGTTAATAATTTTCCAAAGATAACACTGGAAAAGATTAGTGATTAGAAACAAGTCAATCGCATAAATTTAATAATAATACAATAATAGCTAATACTGTAGATAGTGTGGCAATGCGTACGACACACTTTGCAACCAATTTTGCCACTCCCATGAGGCAACGTCCGTCTCATAACGAATAGAAGAGTCCATGTTTAACAATTTAGTGTAGCGAAGGGCAGCAAAAGATTTAGAAAAATAAAGACAACAAAAAATTTAGAAAAATAAACCCCAATTTTATTTATTTTAATTTTGTTTTCACTTTTTTCTATAAGCTTCAGTAAATTTATTATTTTCTATTTAATTATTGCAAGTAACGTATAAACAGAAAATATATAAAATAATTGCCGGACTTAATTCATTTTATTATATGTTGTCACTGTTTACGTTAAGATACGTTTCGTGAGCAGATATGATCGATCGTGTGTTTAAAAACAATAATTTGGACTTTGCTAACAATAGGCTTCTCTGTAGCTAAATGGTATAGCACGTCAGATCAAATGAGGTTTTCCTTATAGAAATACAGGTAAGTTTCTTGTTGGAGAGCGCTTTTTTTTCTACGAAAATTTTATCGAACCTTCAAGCCGGTAAATGTAATTAGTACTGTTTAATTAAAAAAAAAAACGCGTTCACTTAAATAAATTGTATCTATATAAATAACGTATGAACTGGATATGTGTGTGTGTGTTTTCTTAAAGTTGTTAA